CCCCTCTCTTCTTTTGCGTCGTTTCTCCTCTCGCGTTTACACGCTGTTTATGCGTGCGCGCATCTGCACGGAGGGGGATTATTGTGCGCGGAGGAAAAAGCAGGGGGCCGTCACAGGCGGGAAGGGGGGCAGTCGTGCGTGGCGAATATAAGGGCTGGAAAAGGGACGGCGAGGAAAAAAGGAGAGGTGGTGGCTGCCTGCCCCCCTGTGCGTGCAACTGGTGGAATGCCGTTGAACAAACCACGCGGGGCAGCACCCCTCTCGTTCCCCCGTACGTCCGATTTTAGTCTCACGGCTCATTTTTGCGACAAATTAATTCGCGCGTTCGTACCCGCTCGACTATCAGCTCAGACAAGGTGTGCCCTTGACGTCGGGACACATAATTATTTTCCTCTTGTTACGCACCTTTCTTTCTCTTCCTTTTATACGATTGTACCCGGAAATTTCCAGTCACATCTTGCCGGTCACTAAGGGCGGCATTCACAGTCGGATCTTTTATTTAAAATCCTCTTGAGTTTATCTTTAGATGCGTTGCAGCCGATGAAATATTCACTACAGTATCTGAAGATGAGCTTAAGGCAATCTTGAGTGTAAGATTTGACTATGAATACCGGCCTATAATATATTTTGTTTTGTAAATGACGCACAGTCAGCGTCACGCATGCTCAGTCACAAGAAGGTTGCAGTATTTTTTTTTTATTTGAACTATTACACGATTTTTAGCCTTTCACGTGTATACACTGAAAGAAAAAATTGCTATGTTCAAGTAAATATTTGCTAAGGAATATTGGAGTAGTTTATTTTATTTGAATGAAATAAATATTACTTTAATGTAGCATACTAAAAATGCTACAATGTTACCTTGACAAATATTTATTTGAATGTAGCAACTTTTCTTTTCATTCTAAGAAATGGTACATGGCGCCGATCGTACTCGAGAGGATTTCGTGAAAGAATATTGGAATTGCGAGTTTTTGGTTTTTTTTTTTTTTCGTCAGTTTTTCGTCAATTTGCGACGAATAGAATTTTCGTCACATCTTTCGCATTTTTCGTCGCGAATTAGCGCCAATGAGTTACCGAGTAACCGAGCTGTTTTTCGAGAGTAAAGTTCTCAGAGACCCGCGCGCGATCGTAAGGCCGATGAAAAAAATTCCAGTCACTTGTCGAGCGCGCAGTCGAGCTCGCGCAGTGCGACAGAACGTCTGCAAAGTCTGCATAGGATCCGGGCGATGCAGTGACTCACTGGCGATACGATAGCGTCCCCCATGCATTGCATAACCAAGTCGGCTGTTCGGGTTTCACGGCTACTTTAACATTTCAGCGTTTACGGCTCGCCTGTATTTTTTGTAGGCGTGCGAACCGCTTCCGCGTGACTTTCTCGGAAAATTTTCCGGTCTTTCGAACCAGCGGAAATCCGAGTGTCTCGAGTTTCCACGACGGGAAATAAAATTTCCCTGATATTCGTCGACGTTCACTCAATTTTATCACATTCTCGGCTGTCATTTCTTAACATCGTTTCTTTATTGTTCTTTTCCTAACTCATTTCTTGACAATTGTGTCTTGACAGTCATTCCTTGACTGGTTACATTCTTGACTGTTCAATGTATCCATACTTTTGTGCGACGAAGTTCTCGAGGAATTTAACACGTCGACTGCCGCGCTGAATTTTCACTGATTATTTTAACGCCCAACAAAAGTCTGATTTACCAAAGACGATTAAATGTAATTCGCTGTCATTACGCCGACTTATGACGAGTTCTTGTTGTTGGCAACTTTTAAGAAAATTTAATCGACCGACTAAGCTTGCTTCCCAGCAAGAAACACGAGTTGACACAAGCCTGGTTACATCATCACTTATTCTTATTTCGCACCTGGCAAAGAAAAAGACAATAGATGATATAACTGGACTTGGTGATGGAGACCCTTAGTGAATATAACGTTCGTCGGATCTAACCCGTAACTTGTCTTGGTGTTGCAGAGGAAGCGCGAAAAGCCGGCAGCAGCGTGCTGGTGCACTGTCAGGCCGGGGTGTCGCGTAGCGCGACAATCGCCATCGCCTACATAATGCGGCACAAGGGTCTGTCGATGGTGGAGGCGTACAAGCTGGTGAAGAACGCGCGTCCGATCATCAGTCCGAACCTGAACTTCATGGGGCAGCTGTTGGAGCTCGAGCAGGGCCTGAGGGCGTCCGGCGGTGTCGGCAGCTCCGGAACGTCGGAGGAGCCCGCGACGGGCTGCCACCAATGCAGATGGAGTCACCAGCCCAACAGCGAAGAGGTCACCTCCGGCTGCAGCGTCTGAGGCCGGGTCCTCTCGTATCTCCTTGAGAAAGAGGGAGTCACGAACCAGCGTCTCAACGCGGCGCAAGTTCCGCAAACATATCTCGAGAGGCCGAGCGCGAGTGTCGACGAACGTTCTTCCTGCGCCTCTTCGCGACGGCGGCGGCGACGACGACGGAAAGATCGGTATTGGACGGTCCCATCGTTCTCGGAAAACGCGCGGGGAAGATCCCGCGAATCACCATGAGAGAGTCCCCTCGATATCCGCCGGCTTCTCTCTCTCTCTCTCTCTCTCTCTCTCTCTCTCTCTCTCTCTCTTCCANTCTCTCTCTCTCTCTCTCTCTCTCTCTCTCTCTCTCTCCCTCCCTCCCTCGAACTTCGTATTTTTCGATATTTTAACCGGCGCCTTGTCGCGCTCGCGGGATCTCGGCATCTCTCCAGGGTCGGTGTAAATCTTGAGATCTCCGCACGGTGCGACCGTCCAATTCAAGACGCCGTTCCCACAAAGCAACTCACCGGTCAAATCGAAGGAGTGGACGTACGAGAGAGAAGTACACGTTCTGGCGAGACTCGATGTATCATCACCGTCGACGAGAGAGAAAGAGAGAGAGTCATTTTGTGTCGCGATTCTCACGGAGAGGGAGGACGTTCCGTTCGCGCGAGTCGGGGGTAACTTTGAACGCGCTCTCTCTCTCTCTCTCTCTCTCTCTCTCTNCTCTCTCTCTCTCTCTCTCTCTCTCTCTCTCTCTCTCTCTCTCTCTCTTCCAACTTTTCGATGACGAACAGCAGCAGCGGCGCGTCGAGGGACGTTCGCGCGAGCGACGAGCGCGTACTTGTACTTACGACACAGTGTTCCCTAAACACGTCTGGTCGAGTCAACGGGGAGGCGAGTCGGAGGCTCGCTCTCAAGCAAGCGATCGAGCATTCTTGCGTTTCGTTCACGGTGAGAGGAAGAAGGAAGGAAGACGCCGGCTCGTCGGTTTTATAAGCAGCTCTTGCGATCCGGCGAGAAACTCGAGAGAGGAAATCTTACCAAACGAAAGTCCGTCCTGTAAATCTGCTGTTCTGTAACTTAAAAACCTCTCACACAATTGCAGCGGAGAGAGAAGTTCATTGAGCGCTTAGTGAGTTGGTCTGTTCCTTATAGTTGCATTACCGAACTGAGGCAAGAAGTCCTCTGCTACTGGAGTATTCTTTTGGGTTGTTGATAGATCCAAGAAAATACACCAATCGGAAACAGTAATCATTAAGCGCTCACTGAACTATCTGATCTGTTCTTTTTCGCTGAACTAGTTCGAGAAATTCACGCATACTGAAACGTGAAAATCTCGTACGCTTCGGTGTGTACGTAAATTTCTCGAACTAGTGCAGCCGCGGTTCAGCTAAAAAGAGCAGACTGATAAGTTGTATGTTGAAACGCAGCCGATAGTCCAACGGGAGGATCCATTTTCCGAAAACGAGTTCTTTCATTGAACCATCGGCTGCGTTACGGCAGCGACTTATCGTGTGACGATGCCTTTGCCGTTAAAAGTTGCAGAATATGCCCTATCTGGTTGGCCGCAAACGAACGATATTAATTATATTAAGCCGGTGATCACCGATCTCGCGTTGGAGCATCGCTGAAGGTTATAATCCGCATTAACGATACGGGACAGGGCGAATTGGAGACAGTGTAGCCGCTCATCGGAAGTAAATGAAATCCAAAAATTCATGCGCGTACGTGAAACCTGTGTTCTTCCTACCTTCCTGACAACGCTAGAGCTTGCAACGGGTAAATCGCGCCGCTTGCCTCTCGATTGACTTTCCGCGAACCAGACGCGAAGTTTTCTGCTAGAAGAATAATCGTCCGCACGGGTAAGATAGCCGTCGAATAAATGTGCACGGGGGTGTCTCGGGAGATTCTCCAGTGCGTGAGGGACTGAGGGAGCCACGATTTTCGCAGCGGTCGAGCACAGCGGTAAATTACACTTCCTTCAGAACTTTTAACGGGGAAATTTTTTATTTTCGCGGACAAGCAAAGAGAATATGTCGTCTCTTGTTGATCTCTCAAACGAGCTTTTACTCAAAATTAAGCGTCTGTCTGTTAAAAGGGTAACATGCAACTGTATATATAAGAGAATGTATGTCCCCGCTGCTAACGTGCACTCCCTTCCTCGGGACACCCTGCGCATCAGGATCACGTAAAACGGAATGTTATTTTAATGGTGATTCTATGGATGCGGAAGAAACTGTTCATTAAGTAAGGTTAAAGCGACCGTTGGTTAGTGACATTTGGATAAACTAGAGAGTGAGAGAGGTAGCGGAGAGCGAAAGAAAGGCAACAAAAGGAGGGTAAAAGTAGCAAAGGAGACGGGGGGGGGGAGTTAGATACATCAGTATAACGGAAGCGAATCGATCGAGACCGTCGATACGAAAACGGGAATTCGCCAGTGTTTACGTCTATATGTCGATATCAACGCGGTTGATATTTGATAGAAAAAAAATAATATATCGTTCACTGAAGGTAAATAGTTTAGCTCGTTAAGCTCCCTAGCATTTAAGGATCTGGTTGAGGTCCAACCATCGTGATCTAGTCGTTTGTTGGGATGAGATGATACGTTACGATGCGAATAAGAGACGAGAGGAATCGCGCGAGAAGCCGCTCTGTAACTTACCACATGGAACCCGCTAGAGTGGAGTAATTGTAAGATCGTAATTATTAGACGATAAGAGGCACGAAGCGTGATAGGTGGTACATCGACGCACTTGGGGCGCTGAAATTTCCCGTGAGAAGGGAAACTTCGCACTGCGAACCCTGGGGAAAGTACAAATTCACGTCCGGGAGTTCACGTGTTCCGGTAAAAAATCTGATCGTTCGAATTCCGAGGTTCGCTTTCGAGTCTCGGAGACTCAATTCCGCGTCTCGACTCTGATTTCTCGTAATTTGATCGCAATTTGCCGTTCGCGATCTCGTGACGATGGGCGAGGAGCGGGATCTAATTAATAGCGAATTCGGTCGCCCACATTATACCGGATCGGTAGAAAACTGCTACATGCTGCTTGAAGCCGTTATTGAATTGTAGAAATACTTTGAATAATCAACACGTTCGCGACCAGAGTCACACATGTATGACGTGCCGATCTTTCAGACTCATCTTTACTCCAAATTTTCAGTTTTATTTAAGTGTAAAATTTTCAATTTTACTTAAGTATAAAATTTAAAATATTTTATTTATATATAAAATATTCAATTTTATTTCTACATAAAATTTTCAACTTACGTGTAAAATTTTCAAAATTTTACTTATGCGTGAAATTTTCAGTTTTTCTTCATTATTACATAAATGTGACAGCGATAATTTATCTCCTTGTATTCACGCAAAGAACAAAAAACCAAATCTGTTTCACACAATTGCAGAAAATCGAACATAATGTGAGAAAAGTTTCCCAAATTAGCCATGGTCGCGAACGGTGTTAAATATCAAATCGTCGCGTCTTATTTAGCAGAACATACATCAGTTATTGACATCATCAAGAACTTTCTTCTATGCCATCGACGCTTCATATACTACAGCCTTTGGCGTGTACTTTGTAGCGCGAATGATCGAATTCACCGTGAGAAGATCGAGGCTTCTTCTCTCCGTCTATCTCTTTCCCATCGCTTTCGTTTCTCGGAGATTCAAAATCGCCCCATATACAAGCGCCCCACGCGCGTCCATCCAAACGAAAATCGCCCTTAAACGATATATATATATATATATGAGTATATATATATATATATGAGTATATATATATATACACACGACCAAGCACGAAGTGCTCGAACGAAAGGCTCTCGCGTGAATGTCGCAGCACGTTTGCGGCGAATGTGTGAGATGCCGGCGTGTGACCACGATCTCGCATACGTTTTAAACCGACCAACGGAAGATCACACGCGGACGCCTTCGTAAACTTACTAATCACCGACAGACAATAACTCGGCGGCGAGCGGCCGCGGATCGTGAGATAGAGAAAGAGCAAGGGGGAGAGGGAAGATCAAGTTCCTGGAGGATCGCGACGAGTTCGCTTAATTGTCGATCAATTTCAAAGAACGGTACATATCAGCGAAAGCGTTGCCTTTGCGATGAAACGACACAGAGTACTGAGGAGAGAAAAAAATCGTAGTGAGGCGCACGTTATATGAAAGAACGACTTAAACCAATTAGTTACCTTGCCGGCGATCTAGAGCGAAGGAGGAGAGGCGAGATAGCGTGCGTGTGTGTGTGGTGTTGCATCATAAAATACACGTATTTCTTGCGACGAGCGAGGCAGACATACAGCGGACGAATACGACGATGCTCGCAATAAACGGTTGCGTTAATCAAAAAGGAGCGATAACGGTTAATTAAGAGATCTATTCTTGTTCACGGAACTCGTCGCGCCCTGTTACCTCCCTTATCGCTTTCTGCCTGTCTCGAGAGAAAGAGGGACANGGGGGGGGGGGGGGGTATATTTCGCACTTTCTCGAAAACGATCTCGATGCCACGGCCCCGAAAATAGAGCCTCCCGATTAGATAAAACGAGAGGGCTCGAGAGCGCCAATCAAAGCGATCTAGCGGCACTGATTTCTTGCACGTCGTCGTATCTCCTTCGATTGTTGAGCAACGCACGCGCGAAGGGTCGCTTGTTTTTTTCGAGCTGACGGAAGGGCGCTTTTTTTTAGATCAGCGTCTCTCTCTCTCAAGAGAGAGAAACACAGAGACGCGAGTATATATTTTAGCGAAGTAGTTTTATACACCGCGTTTTCAAGAAGTTACGCGTCGTAAATTCACCGAAGGTGAAGGCTCGAAACCAAGATATCGCAGGGATATTTTTTTTCTTTTAACGGAACGAGAGTCGCAATGATTTCACGTATCACACACACGCGTGCACACGTGCGAAGTAACTCGAGGAGGATCACACGCAGAACGTAGTAGATTTCGGAAAGACGAGGCGAGAAAGTTTGAGCGAGGGAAGGAGGATTTTTTTTCAAAGTGCGCGGAAACAGAGAGACCCCTGTATGATCGGATCCCAACGATTTGTAATTGTACAGCTACGTAGCGATTAGGAGATATTAGCGTAAAGATGTAACTATATTGCGTGCAAGTATTGTATTATATTAAAAATTTATTTAGTTATTTTATGAATAAAAATGCAAACTCTGCCGGTTCACACTGGAACAGCTGCGTGTTTCTCTCTCCCTGCGCACATGGCATCGCCCGCCCGTCCGCTCTGCCCCTAATCCGTCTCTTTCTCTCATTCCCCGTGTGTGTTCCGTTTTAATATTATGTAAAATTATATAAAAATTACTAAAAAAGCCGGCAGCCATGATATCGACACAAATGTTCGATTCTACCCCGCGACTACCATGTTGTGAAGTTATACGAAAACATAACGACACTGTGTTACGCTATGTCAACTGTGTCTCTTGCTGGAAAATTCCTAATAAGTCCGCGGTAGGAGAGACGCAAAAAGCCTTTCTTTCTCGACATCGATCGCATGCATGCCCCACACCCACGAAAAAGAGGACTCGAGGGATTCGCACAATGAATAAACATTTGCCGGATAGCCTGGCGAGATAAAAGTTCTTTCTTTAAACAATTTTACACACTCTCGTTACAATGTCCCGCGCGTTACACAAGTTGCCGCGGAGCTTTCCTAATGAAATGCATTTAATCAATCGTTACAGAATGATCAGAGTCTCTATATGTACATAGAATTTTATTTTTGTACGGCTCGAGCATAATAATAATAATAATAATAATAATAACTATAACTATAACATTAATATATAATAGCAATATAATAATAATAATAATAATAAAATAATTCATGTAATCTTACATCACCGTGTGTTGCAAGTATAAAACTTACGTAGAACATCGATTCTTACAATGTTACAATAGAAAACGGTTTAAGTCGAGTGATCGGCCCTTCTGCAAGGTGTTTCATATGTGTATATATCTGCGTTTGCCCGCGTGTGTAAGTTTTTTTTCGCGTGTCGTCGCGCACACCGAGAGAAGGTGTTACCGAATGAGACGAAAGACCGGCGATTATTAATCAGCGATAGAGAGAGAGAGAGAGAGAGAGAGAGAGAGAGAGAGAGAGAGAGAGAGAGAGAGAGACGCGAAGTATGCATATATGTATCTCGGTAACAACGTGCGCCTGTGCCCGCGACCGAAGCTCAGCAAGAAGTGATCGATTCCTATCGATTTAACAGTGTCCTCTTTACAAGGTGGTCTCTCTATTGCTTTTTACAAAATTTATCTTGTCCCGTGGCGTTGCGAGCTCAGCCTGAAAGAACGCATTCGCGTCTGCCTTTTCCCGTAACCGGCGCTCGCTCTGTGCGACTTTTTTTTCCTTGCTATCGAGAAAGAATCTGCTGCTTTTAATGACTGCATCTGCGATATACGCTAAAGTTAGCTTTACTCTACTTAGGTATGTCTTCTTTATTGCCTAGGATGATCCACAAATCATGCATCAGAGAGGCGACGGGGGAAATTCCCAAGATCACACGACGCGAATATGCGCGGAACATTGTATGGCATACTGTACAAAGGACTTAAGCTCGGCCTACAATGTCCTCTTTGCGTCTTGCTTCTGCCTTTAACATGGTTCGCAATAGACAGTAGGAGTATGTTTATACGAAGGAAGACTAAGAAATTAACCAATCATAGTTGATTATTCTTCTTACATTCGAATATGATTGTCAATTCCTTATTCTTACTTCTCACGAACATACTCCTACTGCCCGTTGTAGACTACGCTTTTTACTTCTTGTTTCTTGTCTCCTTGTCGCCTAGAATCAAGAAACGTCGTCATGTACAATTTGTTTCTTCTATTACTTCACATGGACCAATCACAAAGTAAGAGTTTTGTTTTCACAGACACTAAATGCATGATATTCTTTAACCGTTTGAGTGCCACGGGCCTTTCTCATTTCCCGATCGAAACTTGCCAAGCGGCGCGATAGCGCTTGTTATATTCCGTGTCGAAACTTGCCAAGCGGCGCGATAGCGCTTGTTATATTCCGTGTCGAAAATTGCCAAGCGGCGCGATAGCGCTTGTTTTATTCCGTGTCGAAACTTGCCAAGCGACGCGATTGCGCTGTTTTCAGCTTACATGCAATAATCATTTCATATCTCTTTTTACCGAAGATTGAAAGGTCACCGTAAAGTTGTGCATCGAGAAAAACCGAGCCTGCTGTGATTATGGGCTTCGCAGCCCAGAGCGTTGCAGTTTTCAGAAGAGAACAGAAGAAGCGCGATCGCGCCGCTTGGCACTCAAACGGTTAAGGTAGTCTATATTCATTGGCTTAAAATGATACGCTCGTCCAAAAAGTCCTCGTCCGATGTTTATAAAAGCTCTAGTCCTATTGCTGTCTAATGTAATGTAATATATTTTTGTGCCTCTTGTGCTTTTTGTCGCCTGAGATAAAAGTTAACGAATTACGGTAGAAGCAAGCGACAAAACACACAATTGTCGGTAAAACAGTACGTCAAGAAGCACAAGAAATAAAAAGCAAGTATTTAAAAATAGTAGCACAATTCTTTGGAATTTGGAACATTCAAACATTTCAAACATTTGTAGATAGGTAACCAGAAAGCCTCTAATAGAAGAAAGACGCCAACAGGGTCACATGACCAGCTACCAGCTCTGTGATTGGCTAACTGTAATTCCTGCTCCTGTGGATTCAGTGGAGCGTCTGTGTTAGAAACTGTTAGACACTGAAATATATTCATACAGGAAGAGGCATCGAAAAGTGAAGACAGTGAAGCCGACAGAGAGGCCAACTTGAGAGCATCCTTTCTTTGTAATATGACGCGTCATACGCGTCATAAGCTCTCTTTAGAAAGAGATGGGTTGCTTCAATCTATCTGTTTCAGGCACGTTTTTCGTAAATAGGCGTTATATGGCACAGTGCCATATATAAGTATACTTATATTTCAGCGGTTAGAGAGAGAGAGAGAGAGAGTTAGAGAGTCAGTAGCTGCTGTGTGATTGGCTGACAGAGTACATGGTTCACGTGATTCTGTTGGCGCCTCTTTCATACTAAAGACTCTCCGTGAATAACCGATTCGGATCGATGTTTATAGGACATTTTATAAAACATTACTTCAATTTATATCCGAAACGTGCTCCTTAAGATTGTACAGTATGCCATGTAACACCCTGTATATACTCCCGATTTATTGAATCCAATATCTAGACTCTTAGATCTACGTCTAACTTAAGTTCCATCGACTCCCGCGCGAATTACAAACTAACTTGACCGTATATTCTATTAAGTCTTTAGCCTTTCGTTATCTTTAGAAGGAAACAAAAAAAGATCAAAGGGTCAGCACGATTCCCGCTTTATCCCACAACGTACCCGCCGAGAGTAACGAGACGCAACGCGGAAAGAAATCCCAGCGCCACCCATTTATACTTTGTTAAAAGTATTGAAATAAACCATGTGGTTTATGGAGAAGAAATATAAACAATATCTCGTGAGAAAGGGTGGTGTTCTCGACGAAGAAGGAACAAAGAACAATCCTCGGATCACGTTGTGATTTTTGCTTTGTGCGAAATTCACGAGAAAGCATAAAGACATCGCAACAACGAGAAACGTCGAGGTGTCTGATGCGCGGAGCGCAACTTTTAGGCTGGGTTTACAATAGGTGCAGTAGGCCTTTTGCTCTAAACGCTAAATTGTAACGTAATTTCCAGCAAAAAGCCTTTCCTACGTTATCAGACGTTGCAAAATTTTAACGTTGTACGTCACTAGTCCTACACTTGGACCAGTATTTGTAATTTTAGCCGGATGAGTAACCCCCAGATCTTTCATATACCAAAAAAATCCATATAAAATGTCATCTGTCAAAAAAAAAAGAAAAAAATTCGTAGATATATTTAACATCGTCTTCAGTTTATTTTCAGATATTGTACGGCTTCTTTTATTATCTACGAAGCTTCATAGCCAGTAAAACAAGCCGTACAATATCTGAAGATGAACTGAAGACGAAGTTAAATATAAGATCTATAAATACCGGGCCAAATTTACGACTAGCGACGCCCGACAAACGACGTATCGTGTAACAGGCTTAAATTATTACGACTTTTAGGAACGTAGGAAACTGTCAAAAATTATATCTTATTACTTGGGGTAGAAAAAGCTAAAAGACCGTCTACAATAGTAAAGTATGCAGCGAGATGTAAGCAGCAAGCTAATTGATCAACCGGATTCTTACAGTCTAAAAATAATCGACTGCGATTGATCAATTAGTCTACGTCTTATTGTACTTTACGGTTATTGTAGACAGTCTTTAACACGCATGACACGCAGGATCCGCACCATTGTATACCTTGTTAGCAGCGCGCGTTGGTGCGGATCCGCGTCCACAAAAAAATTCGCTCGATTTAGTATTAATACAGTGATAAAGACATATATAAATTTCTGTAATGCTGACCAGTTATTTACACTTGCAAAAATCTCACTTTAGTACCATGGAGGACCTTCGAAAATTTAGCGAGCAGTGAACGTGTTAAATGCTTACTACACCTATCGCAGATCCGGATTTACCTCCGCAACCTCGCAACTTTTTGCGAACTTTCGAATGAGAGAGAGAAAGAGAGAAAGAGAGAGAAAACGCGAGATCGTCTCGCGTTCCGTATACGCGGAGAAATACATCGTAGAGCGCAATAATATCAACAACAATAATTAAAGGTATAATCAACACGCGTGATTTTCAGTCGTTTGCTCTGCGAGCCGCGCGAGCTGCGTGACGATCACTCCGACGAGCGCAAAACAATCGAAAAAAGAAAAGAATTATAGCGGGCTAGACGAGATAAGAGAAAAGAATAGACGCGATGCGCGACTTATGGTTCATCCTGGTAGCTGCTCGGCGATTATCGTACGGAGCGCAGAATCGATAGGGCTTATGTGATCTTTCGCGACGGGCGAAGGAATTCAATTGCTGGCTAGGGCGGCCATCGCGCGAATCAACGTGGCGTTCTCCTCACGGAGCCGCTCGCGCTCCACGGCCATCTCGTGTTGTTGCTTCAGCAGACGCGCCTCCAACGCCATTATTTTGTGGTCCCGATCCTCCAGGAGGGACAGCAGCCTCCTGTTCTCCTCCTGCGCCCGCTCGATCAGCTAGAAAGCGCCGAGGTAATTGACATTTAATGAACAACAGTGTATATTCCATTCGTGATGTTGAAAACGCTCAGTACGCGCGGGCATTATCAATAAATTTATTAATAAATAAAAATGTATTAATAAAGAAATAAAAAAAAAGATATATATAATTATATAACATAAAGCTGTTAATATAAATTAATTGATATGCAATTAAACTGCTTTATTAATGCAAATTAATACATAAATTTATTAATATAAACTGACATACAAATGTATTAACCCTTTGCACACGAGGGCTCCGCTCCGAAGCCCTCGAATGCAAAGGGTTAATATAAGTCAATATGAATTTACTAATTATAATGAAAATAACAAGTGAGAAATTCGTGAATTTATAAATAAATTCATTAGTGAAATTTCACTTGTTAACGAAGCACCCACCTCGTGCGGATTGTCGCCTGTTGGTGTCGGCAATCTCGGCCTGCCAGTCGCGTTGACGGGTGCCTGCGGCTCGTGGTTACCGTGGTCCGATTGATTGATGCTGTCGGATTGGTTGAGGGAATCGAACTCCTCGTCGTCGGCCTCCAGATCCGAGTGACTAAAAAGCACACGTCGACAAACGTGTGATTACGTCTCGCTCTTATCGCGTCCGCTGGTTTTACAACTCTCTCCTACATTTAATAACTTGCATTTCTGCCGATTGCATTAGGCACGACCGTCGATGCGGATACAAAGGATATATATCGGGTGTGCTTTAATTCCAGCGCGGAATATACCACCGTCGTCGTTGCGCCGTAATCAAAGAGCGTTCCTGCTTCTCGATAGGAAGCCACGATCAATTGGGAGTAGCCGACGAGGCGTATCTCCAATTAGAAAACCAGGACACAACCTCGTCTTCAATTGAAATCTAATCGGGCTCTCGATCGTCTCCCGCATATTATATCCTTTGTGCCGCAACAAGTCCTTCGTGTTCGGATTTTTCTCTTTTCTTTCTTTTGCCGGTTGGATAGATCAATTTCTCCACCCGTCACCGTATCCGCTCCGCGCATTACAACGGTCGGATAATTGAGAATATCATCGATTACATAGGATTATGTGTACGTACATCGGGACAAGACGACGGATCCGCTAAAATGTTCGTTAATCCGAGATCCTACTAGCGCTATCGTACTTCGTACAGGTCGTGCCTAATCGTAGTTTCATGTGTTTTACGACATGGCGCACTTACCAACTGTGCCTAACTATACATGACCTGTATGAAGTACGGTAGTGCCTAGAAAAGCAATCGTGATTCATTAAAAAGGACAGTCAGACAGACAGCTACTGCGCTAATCACACAGAGATCGCGCTATCCAATTATCGTTAATTACGTGTGAAGATACCTTTTGTTTCGCCTCTGCGTGTACATTCGGGCGGTCCGTTCCTGAAACATGCGCGCTCTTTAAGCGACCAGTCGGAGGAAGAAGTGATGAAGAAAGAGGAAAGAGAGAAGAGAGAAATACACTCTATCGATCTGATGTAAAATTGACGAGCACTCAGCCGCTGTTCCATTAATAATTCCTCTTCTTTGCGAAAATTGTCAATCGCACAGCAGTTGCGTAGCTCGCCATTTTCTCAATTGCCGTTCCGATAATCAACTAATTTCCCGATCGTGACGTTCCATCTCGGAAATTCTGCGAGTTAATTTCAAGCCTTTTCTCTCTCTCTCTCTCTCTCTCTCTCTCTCCCCGCCATCTCCCCGCTCTCTCCCTCGCACACGTAAGAATGTAAGAAGCTGGCGTTGACTGCACTTACTTCGATCAATTCGTGATCAAGAAATTCATTGTGATGCGTGTTGTGCTTAGTTTCGAGGCAAGTGCCGCTAAGTTCTTCCTCGTCCTCGCCCGTACTACCACCAGTGCTCTGAGAAATTATGCGTTTTACCAAATGTCGCAGACATACACTTGTATACAACATTTACACATGAAAGGACAGGGTAAGCTATCCCATAAGTAATAGCGGCGTATCGCCTGTCTTAGCATTACGATTCGAGAAAATGTCTTTCACTATCTCAATCAGGGCGTCTACTCAAGCCTGAGGAAAAAACTCCCTGAGAATTCCCGGACACTTTCCAGGCAATTTGTTAAATTTCAGGTAAAATAAAAGTATTTTTAAATATATCTTGTAAATGAATATATATATATATATATATATATTATATATTTACCGGAATATATATATATATATTTACCGTGCTAGAGTCCTTAATATTTTCCGTTCATAAAAGTTTATAAATCATAAAATAAAATTAATGAATAAAAATAATAGAGTGGAAATAAATAAGAATAGACATGAAAAATTAAGAATCACTCGAGTTCCAATAATTGAATTTGAAAAACGGTTTAAAGAAACTGTGAGGACAAAAAGAAATTAATATTTTAAATAGTTTACGCTGCATACAAATTTTCAGATATTTTGTTTTCAAAAGTTACAAACAAAACAATTATATGATGCATAACCGGCATAAAAAAAATCAACTTTCATAAAATTGTTACAAAATATTAAAATAAATATCTATCTTAATTAGACAAAATTTCCCCCCTACACGAAATCGTTGTCTTCAATACTGAATACCGGATTAGTCGTAGAATCAGTGCGCTCTCAACATCATAGCAATATAATTAAACATTTAAATTATATACGCAAGTATGAAACAAAAGAGAAAAGTATTATAAGCATAAAGAAATATTTAAATTCCCTAATTTTCCCAGGCATGAACAAATTCCCCGGAGAATTCCGGAGTTTTTCCAGATTTTTCCAGTAGACACCCTGTCAATTTCGACCAATACGTTAACTTAATTCATCTCGTGATACCGATAGAGACGAATAATGACGATGAATAATCCGGCGATCAGAAAGCTGATTAGAAAGATATTTCCCATCGAGATCTAAGAATGACCGATAACTTATCGTCGTTCTTCTTATAATGGATCACTCGTCACCGCGAACATCTCGAGGCAATTTCGAACGATAGCCACCCTCCCTCTCTCTCTCTCTCTCTCTTTCTCTCGCAATCTTTTCTGACTGTCGAGATCGGTCATCTCTTCTCGTAATAGAAATTCAGTCACGGAGCGCTCGGCGACCTTAAGGGCCTATAAGTGAGAGTTCCAAGTTCTCAGGAGTTGCATCGTCACGATGCAGAAGCATCCTAACGTCGCGCAGTTACTTATGGGGTGACTGACGGGTAACAATGGCGAACCTCTGTCGACGGTAAATGCACGACCCCTGTGCTACGCCGTTTTTCTCGTAGTTTCCGTCGATCACGTTGCTGCTTCCCCTTGTTTATATGCGTTGGCCTGTGCAAACAGGATACGACACTAAAGACACTAGAACCAGATCCAGAAAGTATTATTAGGCAATTACGTAAAGTTCCGTGTATCAAGGATGTTGGCTAATGGACACTCCAAGCACGATAATAATGAGAAAGATCGTTTTTCTTTTAATGGTCTCTCAATCGGTTCCACAAAGCGCATGCGACCGCGACGATACGTACCGGCCGGTCACGCGTTTGTCCTGCTTCCTGATGATCGGCTTGCTCTGCAGGTTTTCGTGCTCGGGCGGAAGCACGGGATTCGAACTTGCATCGTAAGCGCCCTGCGACTCCTCCACGTCCGGTGTGCTCTCTGAAAAGTGAAGCATTGCGAGCGATTAGTGATAAAACCGGCCGAAATCGTTAAGGCTCGAGTAACAGTGAATCATGACTGTTATCTGGACGTTATCTGAAAATTGGCCACAATTGTGCAAGAAGGGCCCAACTCACAGTAGAGTACCATTTCGAGAAACGTGAAAATGAAAATTTCACGCATGATTCGAAAAGTATAGACACAAGGTTGCTACAGACCGGGAAGACCGGGAAAAGTCACGAAAAAATATAAAACAACCTGGAATTTTCAATATTTTTCTCACAATTCCCTCAAATGTCCTCAATCTTTTATATTCTTTTTTTTCAATGTTCATTTATTTTCCGTCGGCCTGAATTCGCATTCAGGATTATATTGTGTTACTAAACTTTTAAGTTTGCGTTGTTCTTCTAATAATGCAAGTTACCTTTCGTGCAATCGCTGCTTCTGAACGTTAAAGTTTAAGATTACATATTACTCATGGAAAATTCTCCACTGTCATCTGGAAAATACGATAAAGTCAGGAAATTGCAAAATATATTTTACGTGACAACTCTGAAGTAGCACTGAGATTTTACAATCGTTCAAGAGAAGTTTATAATCCATCTTCTTCTCTTTAAGGATATTCATGACAAGCTTAACTCTGAAAAAAATTGGTACAAAAGACGCAATCGGTAGAAAATGAAAGCAGTTTTTTAAATTAATTTTAGGCGTCCATAAGGTTTGGATCTTTTTGCTTTATATAGAAAAACGTACGTAAACTGCCTATTAACAAGAAAATCTCAAAACTCATAATTTTGTGGGTCGGATCCTTCTTTCATAACAATATAGCTTGGCTCTGTGTATTGACACACAGTCGGAATGTCCTGGAAATCATTAGCGTTAATTACAACTGCAATTTAGCTGTTTTGGAAAATTACGTTAGTTTCCTATTGCAATAATTTCGAATAAAACGCTCCGAAAGCACCGTAGCCATGTCAAAGTCACCCTGGTTTTAATCCGAGCTCTATGATTTGTACTAATTCCGAACGGTACTTACTTATCTGACAGATAAGTTATCATATTTACATTTCAAATTTACACGTGAAACCTCAGGAATCTACGGACTTTCGCGACTCAGGAATTTAAAGAGAGTCTTAGGTTTTTCTAAATTCACAGCAGCAAAATCTCCGAGATCCGCATGATTAGAGATCAGGAAATTTCACATTTGCAAGCGTACTTCCGAAATAGTCCTACACGCACGTACTTTGAAAGCTTATGGAAGACACATCTCCTGTCCTCGGTGGGCCCACCCGAGCCCTGGCGGTTCTGATCCTGGACCTCCTGGACGTCAACTCGAAGTCGTTGTCGAAGTCCTCCTGGCTGACGGAGCTGGAGGCCATGCCGGTGACGTCGCTGCAACGGGGAGGAATATCTCGCTCGTGAGTCCGCACTCGCGGCACATACAGCACTGTCAAGAGTGTGTGCAAAGAGAGAAAAAAAATGGGTCCTTACAAAAAATACCTGGACATCTGAACAAAGGGGTAGGTTGTGTGACGTGCGATACCTGTGGAGATGATCGTCCCCGCAGTCCTGTTTACTGGAGCCTAGCGCTCAGATTTTTAGGCTACCGTTCAGGACTCGTCTGAGAAAAAGTGAGAAGGAAGAGAAGTCGAGAAGAGAGCTTGAAGAAGAAGAAGAGAGAGAGAAAGAAAGAGAGAGAGAGAGAGACGAGCTCGCGTGCGAAAGAGAAAAAAAACCCCACACACATACATACATACGCGCGCGCGCGCGCGCACGCACAAAAAGAAGCGTGCGCAGGTAAGAGAGCGAACGTAAAATCGAGAGCGAACTTGATCGAGGAATCACCTGAAGAGGAGGCCCTCGGCTGCCGATCCGGTGACTCACTCCGCCGACCCGAATGAAGGATTGACAGCTGTCAGCCGACGTGAACGACGACCATAAACATCGACCGGAACGAGCCAAACATAGTTAGAACGTAGCCACTAACTAGATCGACGTATCGATCGTCGCTGCTGGGAAGGCAGGCAGGTCGAGGGAATCGAGAAAGGTGCTTTTCGTCCGCCGTAAACTATACACACTACCATGGAACCTACTAGTAACTGCCAGTAACTGCTGGTGACTAGTCTCCCTCTTTCTTTCTCTTTCTGTTGATAACCGCGCTGCACCAGGCCCGTAACAGAGGGGTACCCTCGAGGCCCGCCGTGCAGAAAAGAAAATGAATGGTGTTCGAAAAATGACAGAAGAGGTGTTTCAGTGAGGATGTGTTATATTCTCCGAAAAGTTGGGTTTCATGGGAAATCTGATAATTAATAAAGGTAAACTATAGCTGCGTTCGGTTTTGCAGGTCGGTAACGTCGGTTCACTCTTAAGATTATTTTGAGATAATTTTTATCCAATGAAACGACTTTGGAGGAACCAGAGCGAACCGAGGCTCCAATTTGCAAGATCGAACGTAGCTATTTGAAACATCAACTTTGTCAAATTACAAGTTATGTGCGATTGTGAGAAATTCTTTGTCTACGTGTATGAATATAATATTAATGGTAATGTAGCATTTAACGTATTTTCTGAATTATTAGTTTAACCTGACGGAAATATTTCTTGGAATATTTTATTCCGTAGAATGGAAAATTTGCATGGAAGGCACGAGCCTGCCGAATTAGTCACGTGGGTGGCATTCAAGCGTGCGCACAAGGTCCCTCGGAGGAATTTAACACACTACCGCCATCCAGTTCTCTTTCGTTTATAGGTCGGTGAGGGTCGGATTTTCTGATGCAATCCGCCGCGGTCTGTGTACATCGTGGGAAATTGTGAGAATTGCTACGTCTCTCTCGTGTATTTCGCATCGCTTAAATCGCCGGGAAAGCTGTTATTTTCCTGCCCTGAGGAAAAAGAACGCAGAAAAAGCAGCGAAATGACGGAGGAAGATTCGGTACGTAAAGTATCTCCGGATACTTTGTAACACGTGTGCACGGTTGAATTGGAATATCTTACCTTATTGTTTCTCCGCAATTTTTCCCCGAGAAGAATCTCTCCCGCTTTTCAATTTTCTAATTTCCAATTTTTAAATCCCCTTTAATTTGTCTCTTCGTACTGCGTTTTTTATTAGAAACATTCGCAAAATACCGTAGTTTGTACATTGGTATTTGCGAAAAATTTCCAGGTATTCGATCCCAACATGAAGAAAAAGAAGAAGAAGAAGAAGATCACCTTCGATCTCGACGCAGATCTCAATGAGGGAGGCAGCAATGATGATGCAACGGAAGATACTGTGGATAAAGAAAATCAAGAGCCCGAGTCAGCTGCTATTGAGGATGATGGAACAATGGACTTGGAGAACTTTGGCAAAAAGAAGAAGAAGAAGAAGAAGGTGTTCAATTTCGACGAATTAGAGGCAACTTTGCCCGATACAAAGAAGGAGGTGAGAAACAATTTTGGGGACCATAAGCTTTCATAAATAGCTTTTGTACTTGCTATATTTCTTACCATCCTGCTTATTTATTTCATTTATATCCTGTTAATTGTTAAATTAACTGTCAAATGGTTAAACAGGAACCTGTGGAGCAACAAACAGAAGAAGTTGTGGTGGACGACAATTTAGACTTAGATATGGACTTCTCCAAGACTAAGAAGAAGAAAAAGAAGAAGAAGGATCTCGATGAATTGGTGGCTGAGGACGAGCGTAAAGATACTGAAGAGAAAGATAATGGTACCATAAGAAATCACTTGCTTTGATCCTCTTTGTGTGTCCAGTTGTTCATATTATTCAATATTTGTTAACATGCTGCACTGAATCTGAGCGAAGTGCAGAATATGGTAAGGCATCTGCTTATCTCTGAATTAGATGGGAACACAATTATATGGCAATTATAGTCAATATATCGAGTACACAATTATCTTCCAATCATTCTTGCATTCACACATATTTCATATCAATAGAATCAGTAGTTAAACTTTCATTAGTTGTTTCATTAATGAAATATACATTTCTTCTTCCGCTTCTTTTCATCCCTATTATGGATGCGATAAAAGTAGAAGTAAAATATCCATTTATTCCTTCCTCAGTGGAGGAGGCGAATACATGGGAGGCTTCGGACAGGGACTACACGTACGAGGAATTACTGACTAGAGTATTTACCATCCTGCGAGAGAAGAACCCCGACATGGTAGCTGGTAAGAAACAGAAGTTCGTCATGCGTCCGCCACAGGTGGTGCGTATCGGAACGAAGAAAACGTCTTTCGCCAATTTCACCGAGGTACGTATCGTGACGAGAATCGGGCCGGTTGTTTGAATGAATTTATCTAAAGACGTAGCAGAACCAGCCGAATCATACAAGCATCTACACTTCGCAGATTTGCAAAACGTTGCACAGGCAACCGAAACATTTACTGGACTTCTTGCTCGCCGAGTTGGGAACGAGCGGCTCGGTGGACGGTAACAACCAGTTGATCATCAAGGGTCGTTTCCAACAGAAGCAAATAGAAAACGTTCTTAGGAGATACATCAAGGAATACGTCACGTGTCACACATGCCGCTCGCCGGACACAATCCTCCAAAAGGATACCCGGCTCTTCTTTTTACAGTGCGAGACCTGCGGATCGAGGTGCTCGGTCACCAGCATAAAGTCTGGCTTCCAGGTGGGTTTACCTTTTCTTACCGATCAATTAATAACGTGTAAAGCACGCATTTATTTAATGTGTAATAGCGACGAAACAGTCGTTCATATCTTACATCGAAGTTCTTTCGCGTCTCTTTCAGGCCGTCACAGGGAAGCGTGCTGCTATGCGTGCGAAAACTGCCTAAACAATCATCCACAAGAGTCTCCTCGTTCTTCATTTTCGCAAGATGCCTGTTGTGCTTTATTTGTTGAGAGAGTGCAGTCCTATATATAGAAGAAAGAAGTTTGGACCCTTACCAATCAGGAGCATCAAATGAATAAAAGCGTAGCGTAAGAGAGCTGCTGGTCGCGAGTTCAACGCTATGAGATATCAATAAAGCGATTGTATCTTNGGGGGGGGGGGGGATATAGGAAACGTAGGTGGTATTAGAAAGTATTAGATAGAATATTAAATTATTGTGAATTTATAGATGAATTTTTTGCTATAAAACAGAGCACGTAAAGAAGAAGAGGATGAGCTTTTTAACAACTTGATCTATTAACGATTTTAACCGATCTCTTCATTGAGCAAATTGTGAGGAAGTTTCCGTTCTTGTTTGACGCTTCGACCTATAGTGCCCTTGAATTTTGTAATCTCGGATTTTTTAGCGTCCCGACGAATCTCCAACAAGTCTCCCAATTAAATAAGGAATAGTTGAAGACTTATCGAAAAAATATATACAATATCTGCATCAAGCTCGTCCGCGGGCGCGGTTTAGATATAAAGTGTTGAAGAGTACCTGATCGTTATTAAACAATAGGGCTAAGCAGTAATTTGTTACATTGTCTTGTCTTGTATACAGTAACTTCGGGAGTCACGCGTGTGGCGGGACGAATTAGTGAGATCGTTCGTCGAAAACGACGTTTCCTTTTTTATAATCCGACTACTTCGCGGTATAGATTTTGTATGTGTCGTGCGTGTGTGCGTGTGTATTTGTATTCTTTCGAAAATCCAGCTGGAGAGAGGTCGGACAAGTTTCGCTTTGATACGAGAGTAACATTTTTGCAGTGCAATATTGACACACGTTTTACTATCTCATAGCGTAACCGATATAGCATAGCATAGCGACGTGTACATACGATTAAAATTGACACACATTGCTAGAGCATTTGCAACATTTTTGTAACGTCATAACCGACTAGTCGTAAAAGACTTAGGTAAGCAGCCACTGTAAGAGGTCGTGTAACCTGTAAGAAAGAAAAACACAGCGCGAGTATAATTCGCGACAATTCATCGATAGCTTCGTCCTTTTCCTTTTACACAGGACCAAGTAACTAAGTTAACCGAATTGACTTACCAGAGTCGAATCCCTTCGACGCTGCAAATGCTCGCGACGTTTCATTGACAACGTCCCCCTGATATCGTGTTCAAGTTCCTAAGAGAGAGCGGGCCGGTAATGTGTGTGTGTGAGAACATGTTCGTCGACTTATACCTTATCACGAACACCATGCTCGATCTTAGCGCGACTGTTATTCCGCGATGTACTCGTCCGTCACTCGGCGTCGACAGCACGTGGTCTGAAAATAGTAGACAGTGTTAGCTGAGAATCTAAATCAGGGTGTAAATCGAGGAGTTTGCCGGCGAGCGAGCGAGCGTTCCATCGGGAGTTTTAAAGCTGTTCTACGATGTTCGTAAGGACATCCTTGGCCGAGTGGCCGGCTTATCGGTTCGAGACAACATTTCATGCCTTAAGCTGGATCTATAGCAAGCTTTTAGCCTTTTGTCCCGAGCACTGAATTCTAACGGAAGGCGTTTCCAGACGTCGCGATTCCTGAGATTCAAGCGTCATTACCGATTTTTGGCAACGCCGGAAAATCCCCAGAAATTGCGTTACATTTTATTGCTCAGAGCTGAAAAGGCTGAAGGCTTATTGTAGATCCGTTCTCAGCAGAATGACTGACTTACTGACGTTTATGCCATAAGTCTGTCTTAAGCGAAGCACAACGACTGTCTCTCGAGTCTTAAACTACAAAACCGTCCTGACGATAAACTGCTATGTAATAAAAAAAAACAAGTGATAATTTATACAAGGATCAAAGAACATTGCCTTAAAATTAATATGCGAGTAATAAAGAGGACAAATAAAAATTAATGATAATTTAGACAAAGATTTTAGGGCGAAAAATATTATCTTAAAATCACAAGTCGGCCACTCTGCTACAGTCCTAAGGTGACTTTCACAAACTGCGGTTAAATTCAACCGACAGTTAACGATCAATTACATTGATCAGTTTAGCTAATTGATCGAAGAATGTAAGTTTGTAAGGAAAACGCGGTTATAAAGGCCTGTCTCGATGTAGTGGGCCGTAACATAAGAAGCGAACATGAATTATCTTCGTTTAGCTTCTCATATCACGGCTCACTATAGTCTTACGGACTTCTGTAGAAATGGCTTTTAGAAAATCATAGCGGACGAATGTGCGGGATAATTGTTGCCAGACACACACAATAAGCGAAGTTCACTGCGAGCTCACCCTCAATGTTCAGGCCGGCCGCCTTCAACGAACGTCGTTCGTCTTTCAGAACCATCGATTCCCAAAAGTCGCATGTCTCATTCGATCCGACGGATCCTCGTACAGGACGCGAGATCGTCGGTGTGTTACTTCCATTTTTTTTTTTTCCCTTTACTAATCTCAGGCCGCTAGCGAGTCAATGTTGTTTCGCGAGAGAAGAACGTACCCTGGATGCGGGGACGTGCACGGTGTGGAATATTTGTTCTCCCATTAAGGTAATCAGTTCCCGATCGACCAGGTCCGATCCTCGCGTTTTGATACCTTCCACGTCCGCCACCTTCGATCCATTCCGTCGTGAGGACCCTCTGAAGTGAGGTTGCAAATGAAAAAAAAAAAACAAGGATATCGTATCCACCGTTCGCGCGAGTACGGCTTTAGTTGGTGCAGTCTGAGACGATGGAATTGAACGATCGTGTGGAACAGCGGCAAAGATAATTGTTACGCGAATCATCGCGTTTCGAGGAGTTTTGTACTCGGTTTGCCAACTTGGTAGAATGATAGATCAGCTATGAACATGCTTATTGGGCTCTGAATAAACAACCCGACCGCTAAGGTCCCAATAAACTTTCGGTACATATGCATACTCGAATTTCTTCAAGTTTTCGACGCATCGCTCCCGGTTCTTCCCTCCGTTCTCCAGCTCCTTCGCCGGCGTCCCGAAGAGGAGCTCCTGGAAAATTCGAGCGAGAACGTGCCAAGAATTTTGTCTTTCCTAAATCGGGCACGTTTGATTCGTCAGGTAAATTCCCGCGTACAATAACGATAAATACGAATTGTTGTTCGCTTACATCGACCACTCAATGCAAATCAAATTTCGAGTGTATGACTAAAGCGAACAGCTACGCTTTCATGTCGGACATTAATCGGTCCTGAAGATTGATGTATTGTACTTCGTGCCCGTCTAAAGTTATGCCTTTGCATACCTCTTCAACGGATAAAGATCAAGAAGAGATAAATTAGCGGTCAGACAAATTGGAGTAACAACTGCGTGATACTAGGAAATATTTGAACAAGGCTTGGCTAAGGCGTTTAAAACAAATAGATACATGCAAATGTATATTGTAAACATATATAAAATAAAAAGAGGCTCTCATGATATACAATCAAGTTGAAGCTTGGCAAGTTCTGCATCGTCGTTGAGACTGGCGACATTCTATAATAGAAACTTTCTCGACTCTAACTTTCTATAAAGCCCACATCTCTTATCTTTAGATCTTTGTCATCTTTGATAACAATTAAGGCTGAATGAATGTGTTATCGCTTTAAAGTAAAGAATATCAATTCATAAAACCTTTCGCCCTGTGCCGTTTTATATAATTGCAACGAATAAGATAAATTATGCGCCGCCTAGCAGTGGAAAACCGACATCGTGAAATCAGACGAATATTTCTCCCGAAACCAACGCTGTGAAAACAGGCGAATATTTCGTCTAAAAGTAGTATCAAAGGCACAGTGTCTTCTGCTATAGTGTCGTCTGCTAGAGCGATTGACAGATCGTCGTTTGCTATATCAGGTGACAGCTTCAAGGCGGTGAGTAGTTGAACAACTGTAAAATTTACATACGCACATGTAATTTTGTCATATCTAACCTTTGACCATCTACCGCGCATGTTCGTGAATCGGGTTTGCTTCGTCGTATATTTCGTGTGTTTTGAAATATGTAAGAAAAAAACCATCCAATGGCCGATGCGTGCATGACGTTAACCTTGAAAAAATGCTACTCACAATTTTCTTTTTCTCTTACAGCGTCGACTTTGCTCCTCCTGCCAATCAGGCGTCGGATGAATATATTTTCATTGAGATTCGCGGCAAAAGCATTATTCTAAATCATGCAACCGTCGTGCAATCGAACTCCCACATTCACCTATGACACGAAAGACCTTAATTTCGTTGTCAAATCGTGCGAAAAAACTGAGGCCCCGTTTGATGACATTTTGCGGCGGAAATGGCAGCAGGCTGAGGAAGCCAAGCTCTTCCGATACGCTTTAAATATAAAGGACTGTAAAATATTGAATGGAAGATACAAGTTTCTGGCACAGGTACGCTTAGAATAATGCCGGTTTAAGACAATGTTTTATGCCTGAAATCTTTGTCCTTAAACAATGACTAATCAAGAAATCATTAATATAACGTTATTACAATGATATTTTATAACATGTAACGTTTTCAAATGCGTAGTTCCCAATGTTGCACGTGTCATTGTTAACAATTTGAACCAAACATTAAAAATAGTATCTCCACACTATTATTTTAATATTCAGGGATATTATATTATCGAGTAATAGTTTAAAAATATTTACAAAATATTATGTCAAAGTATTTATAAAGTCAATGTTTCAAGAAGATTGATTTAATGTTTCTTACTTACTGGATATCCTATGTCTTGAGTCTTAAACTAAAAAGCTGTTTGTGATTCATGACAAACCGTGCTATAATGATCATTTAGATAAAGAGAAAGATTTAGGATATGAAACATTGCTTCAAAATTGCAAGTCAATTAATCTGCTCAAGCTCTTACTCATGTGGGGAAGAGAAGAGTGTCTTCATTGGTAATATATAACTCAATGATGATTTCAGTTCAATCCGGAGCGAGCAAAGCGCAGACGTGTACCAGAAATGATCACATCTATGTCGCAGCCTTTCAACCTCGAGGACTTTAATTTCACAAAATTAAAGCAATCAGAGATACTGTTTGACATAGGAAACAGTGACGATATAGTTGCAATTAACGACAGTCCTGTGGCGCAGTATCATTGTTTGTTCATTACAGAACGCTCGAAATGTTTGCCTCAAGTTATAACAGAGTACAGTCTTCACAAAGCGGTAGAATTGTGCCTCTTGAGTAATTCATGGTAACCATTTCTGTGTTAGAGAAACATTGGACATGACTTTAGGGAGCGATTTTCTATCTTGTTGTCTGTTCTAGTTCTCTGCGGGTTGCTTTCAATAGTTTATGCGCCCATGCGTCCGTTAATCACTTACACTGGCATTTGTATTATTTGAGACAAGAGATGCTTCTGGAATACATTGTAGGTAAAGTTAATGATGGCCTGTATGTGTGTATGCAATGCATTACTTGATGTGCTTGCTTTTGCCTCAGGATGTTTGCAGTTATGCGTATGGTGTACACTTGCTGGTGGATTATCCAGCGAAAAGTTTATGTATCAAATTGTCTAGCTTTGAGAATATTGGGGATTTTGCGTCCCGAGCCTTTCTCGTGGTGAACTACTTGCAGTTGCACCAGGTGGCGCATAACGTGTACATTACGCGAGCGAAACTGAAGCCGAACGACGAGTCGTACGGTGACGTACGAATTTATGTTTGGGCCAGAAAGTCGCTTATTGGCGTCAAAGGTACAGCATTTATACCAGGGGTGTGCGAACTCTTTGGGCATTTATCGATCGGAGGTAAAACTGAAACTCTCATGTTCACGCCGATGGAAATATTTTGCTGGAAATACTATGATATCGTTGAAAGGTGAAATGAAAGTTATCGAAAAATTACTGGACATGTATAAAAATGAATCATAATATTCCTTATGAAATGCAATATAATACTGTGAAATATAAGGAAAGTGCAAATATACTGTTGAAAAGTAGTAAGAAAATTTTGAAGTATTATATATCAAAATTTATTGGAAAAACTGAAAATTACGTGACTTTTTAAAGAAAAATTGATATACCGGTGAAAATAATTTTTTTTTATTATTGAAATATTGACGACGTAATAATAAAATGGAGTCGATTGAGAAAAATTTTCCAATACATTTCAGCAAATTTTCATTATATTTTCAGTAAAAATCTCTATCAGGGCAATGCAGCATTTTCCCTTCTTCATTATATATAATAATTACCTACAATTATGTATTATCATGTATTATCACTTTTAGATGAAGATATATATAACAATCTGAAGGAGGAGGATGTAATCAATGTCCTTAATGATATAACGAACGAATCTTTCTTGTTAATCAGAGATAAGCTTCGACATTTTTTAAAAGAACATATAGATATAGGGAAGGATATATCCGAAAGTTCTAAATAACGGTAATAAATCCAATCGATTCTTTAGTTTCGATGTTATTCCTTGAATCAAAATTTATCCAAATATACTTTATTATTGTATCTCTCTTTCATTTCTCATAAATTCAGTTGCGTCGCTCCTTTTGTTTTTTATTTTCAATTGGTGATATCGATTGTGATTTTGGTCGAAATTAGTCGAGTAATCGATTGTGTTAGGTTAGAACGATTGCCGGCCTTTTGCCATGCATTGGGCGAGTTCCATTTAACGCTCGCAACGACGCGAGCGTCATTCTATCTTTATTTAACATCCGGCGAGAGACAAAGCTAGAATCACGCTCGCGTCGTTACGAGCGTTAAGTGGAACCTGTGCATTCAGAGGGAGAGAGAGGGAGAACGATTGCCGGCGGGAAGTATCGATAAGCGGTAAAAACAGAGACGCTGTTCAATATGATTGTAACAAAGTGAAGATGCCGACATCCCTCCTCGTGCCGAGATCTCCCGCAATAAGTATTCCATATCTCTGTGATTGAACACAAAATGGACAATAGCAATGATACGCAATTTTTCTCTGACACCATTGTGAGTATCGCGTACATCGATTATACTAGGTGTGATCCAAGTTGTGTGCTCGTTTGTATAGGTTAAAGCAAACAGAGGTTATGTTTATAAAATCGTTCTTAAAACACGTGAGAAATGTTTTCTTAACTTTTCTTTTAACAGTAACTACCTTTTGGTTTTCGTGTTCGCTTTCTGATTCTCGTTCATATCGTACACATTCATTTCACACATTCAAGTGTGTCGCGGGACGTAATTATTCTTTTTTCAAGTTAAATATTTATCAGATTTCTGTCTTTTTTGAGAAACGTAGCCGATATACGATGTAAATTAACGAGTGTAATGAGAATACATACGAATTAATGAGTGTGATAAATATATAAGTGGTAATTAATTAATTAATTTTAGGAACATGTGCTTCAACCAGCAAAAGCAGAAGTTTCACTTTCACTGGTAAAAAAGAAAATATTGAAAACAAAGTATGTATATATGTCCTATTCTGTTTTATATGTATCTTTTTTTATCATTTTTGTATATATTTTTTTACATGTAATTATATACATAACATATAAAATACCTCATTTGAGATTACCATTAGTGGCAGCAATGTTAAAAGAAAAAATCAGTTCACTGTTATGACAATAAGATTTATATATTTTTCAGTGATATAATAAGACAATATGAAGAGAAAAAAAAGGAGAATGATAATTTAAAATCAAAGTTGGATATTGTAAGGAAAGACCTTAAGAACGTCAGACATAAGTACCAAACTAATCTAGATATGACGAGAAAATTAGAACTTGTAAGTAATAAAATATATTGTACTAATTTCAATTATTAACTAAATAACGAATTCTTACATTGTTTATTATTACTGGAAATACATTCTTTTCGTACCGTGATTAATACATAGGCTATGTGTTAATATAAGTTTATTCATCTGGCAGAACTGTGTGAACAATGTCAACCTTTGATTGCAGGATAATACAAATGTTAAGCAGGAAAATAATAGGTTGAAGAAGAAAATAAATGAAGACGAATTGTCTACAGCCGGAGATAAGCAGTATATACAACAATTGAGGTGCAAAATAAAAGAATTGGAGGAGGATTATTCTGAAAAAAGTATGGATTATAAAATGCAAATGGCTCTCCTTAAAGGTAATGGCGACTAACTTGACTTCCTTCATTTTCTATCACTCAACGAATAGCATAAAGAACAAAACTGTTCGTTCACATTTTTGATCGAAGGATTAATTTCCTTTTACAGATGAAATAAAGAATTTGGAGCATCAGTTGGCAAGTTCGAAAAAAACACAAGGCAAGAAGAAAAAGTCTGCCATCGCTGATAATGATACTACTGAGCAGAGTACGGGTAAGTGTTAAGTCGCAAGCGAATAATTCCTCATTATTGTACACTTACTGTGTATATTCTCATTTGTAGAAACTAAATCAAGTTCAGACGTTGCTATCAATGTATCGTTGAGTGACTTCAATTTAGACAAGAAGCCCGAAATGCGAGAACAGAATACAATGACGGACGAATTTTATAATTTGAAGGATGATCCATACCCGCTGTTCTGTTCGAAGTGCACCACCCATTTACACTCACCGATCGAACAAATTTGTCAGATAATGATGTGCTCGAATTTAATCGAGCCGATTCATTCAAGGCCGATGTCCCCACTGTCTCCGCTATCAAGTGAGTAAACGACGATTCGTAGTATTTATCATTCGACGAAAGTACAAGAGGTCGCGTTCTCTTGATACAATCATGTCGACTTAGACATTCCTTCATTGCATATATCCTTGTTACATTCTTGATTCTCATGTTCCAGATTTAACGCCAGAACCTTCGGATCAAATTACTCCGAGTAAAAAACATTCAGATGAGAACGTCACAGACCAGAAATCAGAACGTTTAGACAGCAGAAATGTTCCGGGCAAAGGACCAGAACGTACAGATAGAAAAGTCTCCCCGGGTAAAGAATCGGAACATTTTGACGGGGGCGAGACGGCTTCTATCTCTAAAGTATTATCTCCGCCACGCCTGATGAACTCATATTACAATTCAATGGACGACGCACGCAATCTCAAGTCAGAGTCGAGAAATTCGCCCGCTACACCGCAGGATTTCGCTGAGTCTGCTGACGAACACCGGGCGAAGTATAACACGTTTGCAACGGAGCCGCCCGGCGAATCGGACTTAATGATTCAGTGTTCTTCATCTATCAGAAACATGGAGAAAATTGTGCATTCGTTGAAACGTAAGATGAAGAAGCAGATGCGTAAAGTGAGGAAAAGACTGAATGAGAGGCACAGTTGCCATTGTAACGCCACGAATTACGTGGCTACCTCTAACGTTGCTTCGCTGAATCCGGAACTGCTCAATATCTGCAAGAGTGTAATGGAGTTGTGTAATAACAAAGAGAAAGCACGCCCTAAGAACGAACGAAGTGCCAGGAGAAAGTATAACACGAAGAAGGCGAAGTTAAAGCGATTGAAGAGCGTGAGAAACGATTGGAAAGTTGAGCATTGCAAACCGCGAAATATAACCCGTACTAAATCGGAGGACATTTTAGACTCTTCAGCCGTTAATCAATCTTATCTGTCTGACGATGATTTCCCGGTACATTCGACAGAAGTGAAGTCTGTTGCCAAAGTGGAGTTTGTTGCTGAAACGGGGTCCGCCGCAGTGATATCGCATTCGCGCGTTGAAGACTCGTCAAGCAGGGACGATAACGTGGAATCCGCCGACTTGAATTACCACACTGAAACGACACTCGTAAAAAGCCCCGTTAATCCTTCCCACGGTATCGTTAACACAGGAAGCGGTTCTCAGAGCCTCAAGTGGAGAGGCAACAGTTCTCTGTTGAAGAAACTTCGGAACTTGAAGAAGAGAACGCGCACGGGCGTGCATTCGAACAAGCAGCTGAAGGTTGAGCTGTGCCCGAACGACAGTTCCGAGTGTTTCCAGCCGGCGAAGAAGCGACGGATCGCGCATATTCCGAAAGGCATCTCCTCTCAACCGGATTTCGCCGGGAGGGATCCTGCCGAGCACACGACGGCAGTTCAACCTGAAGTATTCGCGAGTTTCCCACCGGACGCGCAGTCATCGGTCGAGACCGAAATGTATCGTACGACCAGCGAGAAGAGCAGCACCCCCGTTGCGGTACGTAGATTCATCAACTCATCATCCTTCCAGAAGACCAAAGATCCTGCCGCTCCGCTCGTTAACGGCTGTTCGATGCCCATTGTTCCCGAGCGATCGGCAAATTCATGTTTGAGACTAGTCAATTCCAATGACACCTCGGGTAACGTCCTGCTTGGCACGAGGAGCAACGATGAGTCTGTAGCGTCGCTCGTTAACGGCTGTTCGACGCCCATTGTCGAGCGATCGCCGTCGGCGAACTCACTTTCGAGACTAGTCGATTTCAATGACGTCTCAAATAACTCCGACGTTGCAACGGGACTCGTCGACGGGACGACGTCGGTGGAAGAGACAGACGTCCTGCTTGGCACGAGGAGCAGAGACGCATCGCCTGACGCTCCCTGTGAAATTCTGAAGAACGACGAACGTTCGGCCGAGGTTACGAATAGTACATCGTCGCGCAGCAAGTCGCATCGTTTACCCGTGGTTATACTGAAACCTCGTAAGAATACGAGCAACGTGAGGAAGGATGCACACGATGAAGCGTCATACTCGAGGAGTCGGAGTGTCGAAGGGCACCAACCTCAAGGAGATGCAAGTGTGCCGGTTGAGACCGCGGAAGATCGCGCGACGAGCGAAGAGCGCGATGATCAGAGCTTAGTCGGGCAGCCTGTGGAGGAGGAGAATTCAACGTCGCCGTCGTTGAAGAGCAGGAGTGTCGTCGAGAATGACGATAACGCGGGAAAATCTCGCGACGAAGTGGACAATGAGGCGGGGAGGGTACAGGTGCGCGTTAACAATGAAAGGACTGCACCGTCGGACCTCGGGACGTTCGAGAGAAACACGGGATTCACTGGTGGTGATAACAACGACTGTGAGAATGATGTGAAGCAGGATAATGACGATAATAATATTGATAACGAGGGTATTGATGTCAAGAACGGTGATATCAGGATACCTTGCGATGATGATGATGATGATGACGAAGAAGGCAAAGTCGAAATTCGAACAGACCCGCCGATAAAGCATCTAAACAAATTCTTGGTCAAAGAAGGCGCGAAAAAGATAACTGCCAAGCAAAGGATGAAGATGTTCAAAATCTTGACATTTGCAGGTAATAAACGGACAATCGCGTGATATGATTTCACTGTAAAATGCGACGCTGCTAACAGGTTTCTGCTGACTTTCCACTCACGCGACCGGCGTTGTCAGGGCATAGAATCTTGGTATTTACAGTATCGCAAAAATCGCTGTTAACGAAAATATATGCCGTGTTCAAATTGCGCTGCAAAATGATAATTGTCGTCTGAAAAAATTATCGTGTGTTCGATCGTTTATGTCGGAGAAATGTCGGAAAAAGTTGTAATATCGTTAACAGAAATTTACTTTAGCAATAACGTACAATTATGTAAAGCCATATTGCGATGTATAGTATTGAAGCGTTTCAAACATAAACGCGACTTGTCTTCGCAATCATTACGGAGAATGTAACTACTTTTACAATGTTGTTTCTAGCAATTGAGACGTACCGCACTTTTTAACGTTACAGTCAGCCTTCGACGCACGCAGATCTGACACACATAGATGCGTACTTACCGTGGAAAATTCTTGACCTAAAATGTAGCTACTGCCGGTTACAGCAGCATTACGTGCGGAAAATTACATAATGACACACATAATGGCATAATCACCGTCGTGTTTTTATTCAGAGACATTGTGCAACATGTGCAGGGTGAGTCTGACTTGCATAGGATTTTGCGGAACCATCCACCTGCGTAAGTCGAGGGCTGGCTGTATTTTCCTAACAAACATTGCGGCGCTCTCTTGCAGAATTGGTATTGATTTTTTTTCATTTGCGTCTTTTTTTTTATTTTATCCGCGACGTAGCCGATCACCGTGCTACGTAGATCGCTGACGTAATAATTGCAATATGCCTGGGATTTCGACATCAATGATTAAACGACATATTCTGTAACAGATTAACGTTTAAATAACGAAAATATGAAAAACGGAAAGTCTAGCTTGGGCTCATGTATGTACGACCCACGCGGCAGCGAATTTGTTAAAATATACGAACCTTTTATCCTTAAAAATATATAATTCAGACTAAATTCTGAGGAAATTTTTCAGCTGATCGCACGATAACGCGTAAGCAGCCGTGTTTGACGGTAAGTTGCGCCGCCCTTGCCTACCTCTTGTAACCGACTCATGATAAGCAAAATATTTATGTTAATAACTTAAAAAAAAATAAGCTTCGAACGAAGTTTCGCAAAAGTTGCCTCAGAATTTAATCAGGATATCATATTTCAAAGGATAAATGATTATTCTGGATCTGTCGTACATTACGTTATGTTGTATCATATTTCAGGTGAATTTGTGATGAAACAATTGCACAGGCTCGAGCGAAGTAACTGGGAGGATTTTGTACATTGCGATATTGTAGAGAAACTACGCAAGACCTGCGGACCTCGTTTCCTAGCCAAGTTAGTGTAATCTGTTTTGCGCGATCTAAAATAGTATCGTAGATTCTCGTCTACTTCGGACAGAAACATACGTGCACATGAGAGATATCTTTACAGCGAGAGAAAAATGCCTAAAAAAAAACAGAAGAAATATCTCTCCCATGAGCACTAATAACATATTTACTAATATACAGTTTTTACACTAAAATAATTTTCTTAAGTGACAAAATACACATTTGCTAGAATTTTTTAATTCTTTCCACGAAAGCAATTGTTTATTTGAGTAAAAGAAATATGTTATTAGCGACTACCGTAGAAATATAATTTATTTTTTACATATTTGTTTCTCAGCGTATATAATTTTATCCGGATCAAATTAACACACATCTCCCTGATTCTTCCAGATATATAATTAATTTCTTATCGCACTATAGTAATGATAATAGTATGGGTATTACTATGGACAAGTCATTCACTCCCCCGGCGCCTTTGATGTCGAGGTGCGAACAGAAGATCATAATGCTCCTAATCGATTTGGATCAGTCGAAACCGATGCTCATTGAATACGTGCGAGCTGGTATCCATTATAAGCTGTTTAAACTTACCTCTAAGTTACTGGTATGTATACTTTACTAATTGTTGTCGAGACAAAGAAAAAAAAAAGAAAGAGCAAAGTTTGCCGTTCGTGTCAATTTATCGCGCTGAAGATGGGCAAATCGGCCACGTTCAGCGGAACGTTTATCTTACAACGTTGGGAATTTTCTGAGCCGAGACTGGACTATCATTCTTTTAGATGTACGTAATCTCAGTTCAGAGAAACTTCCAACAGTTGTAAAAGAAATGTTCTGTCGAACGTGGCCATTGACTGCGGTTTTAATGTTTCAGAAAAAAAAAATGTTTCCCATTTTCCCGTGGATTTTTTAATTTCTTCTTTAGAAAAAAAAAACAAAAAATTAATATAGCGGGTTTTAATCGAACACGTTTATGTGAATGTTTCCGAAGCGAATGAATTTTCCGTGCTCTCGGGACAGAATTTCCGAAGAGATCCGAAAGCTTGGGGAAAATTCTTTTTTCCGAAACTTAAAAACTGTACCATTAACGTCCACGTTTCCCTGAAGATTATAGAAACCGAGTTACTCACGAGGATGTACGTCGCCCTGGCGCGTCTGCAGAACGACAGGGAAGCCGTGCGCATCATGTGCTGCGACGCTCTCTACTGCATGGGCTTCCGTGCCATAAACGTCTTGTACACGATTTTGACGAGCTGGCCCGAAATTTTCCCGCACATCGACGCCCGCAAAGGTATCGTATTACATTGTAAAAACACTTTGGCTTTTTATTTAGCTAATGTGTCACTTTCTATTGAATCAATTCCTATTTTCCTTTCTTCTCTCTTCCTCGAGCGCGCACGAGTCGCTCGTTCGTTCGAGGAAGCTCCGAAAAATTGCGCCAGTTTCGTTTCGATGGTCTTAAGCGTCGCCGGGAATCAATGTCTCGTACGAACGCATCGGTCAAGAAGTTCGGTTCGATTCTCTGGTTGAATTTTTCATTTGACTCGATGAAAATGAATGGTTCACCCCGAGTATAGAATCAAGCATCTGCGTGATCGAGTCGAATCGAATTAGGGTTAGCCGGAAAATTCTGGTAGATAGAAAAACCCGTGGTAAATTTTGGCGTAATCGCCATCGTTTCTATCCTGGACGAACTATCTGACGATACTCGTGCACCTTCTATTTTAAAGTACAAGGTTTGCTGTCGAGAAATCAAACCAAACAGTTTTGACTGCACGAATCGATACATATCGAAGAAGCGTACACATACTGTTGCATTCTTGCGTAGGACTGTTACCAAAGTGCATAGCCTTCCTGATTTCGCAACAGAACGACAATGCTTACCAGAAGTTAATACCATTGAAGAATTTAATATCGAAATATTACGGGTATACTCAGGAAGTCTCAATCGATGACATCACCAACGAGCTTATGACTGCCTTCACAAGTAAGTTTATCCTTCGTAGTCGTACAGTACAGTGTACAGTAACCGCGAATTGTATTGCAGACGAACAGCAGGACGGTTTGCAGACGGCCATTATACTCCTAGCGAAGAGAAACGGAACAACCTGGGCGTATAAGAATATTATTAAAACTCCTCTATTGCCAATGATCATCTTTGAGAACTATCCTTGCATGTACAGTGCGTTCTGCCTATTAGGTATGTCCCTCTTTTGTATTGAACGTTCGACGAATCGGCTGGGGATTTGCGTATCGATTAACACTTAAACTGCCATGTCACCTATAAAAGAGGGGGGAAGAGGTGGTTTCATATACACAGGGTGGTCTACCACCCTGTGTATGCAAATGCCCTGAAAGATTTGAAGGAATGATCCTTGAAATTAATTCAAGACGGAAACTTCATGTGACCGAAACGGTTTAGTTTGAAAGATACAAAGTGCCAAAGTTGAAGGAAAAAAAACCTCTCCGGTTATTTTGATGAAACTTCTTCGTATGTTTCACGTCCGCCTACGCTCGACACTATGTCACGTGGGCTTCACGTGTTAGTATGCATTGCAGCCTACGAATTTGAATGTTCGCAGGGAAACTGATGCGCTCATTTCCGTTGAAATCGAAGGACAACTCTGTGAAGGATATCGCCGTTCAGCTCTCGGATCTCCTCGCGTCCAACGAATGTAACGTTTTATCCGAAAATCTTGCGTGATTTTCATTCTTGGCAGTGTGCATAATCTCCGTCTCGTTTTCGTGCAGTTTCAGACGACGTGCAAGAAGGTATAGCATCGGCGTTGCTTAGTCTCTCCAGGCACGAGTTTTCCACGGTCACGAATGCTATAATAAAATGGACGCCGAAGGAACCCTTAAGGCCGACTACCGTCGCGCAGATAGAGGCACATATAAAACTGCGCCCTCGAAAATTCTGGAATAAGTATGTACAAGAGAAGAAATTATTTGAAATACAGCCAAAATGAAACACATTGTACCTCAATCGTGTGTCCCAAGTGGTAACTGTAATTCAAAACCAGAAACGGAACATCGAATGTTCCAAATCGTTGTCGTTATAATCGGCAGTATACTTGAATTTTTTACGAATATACACGCACAGCCCGGCAGATTAGAGATCGGCCACACTTTCTTGTTTTGTTTTTATCTTTCACAAGCTTCGTGACATATCCCGTCGTACCCAGTGGGAAATCGGTTTTTCCCGAAACTCCCCCACGAGATACATTTTTTCAATCAGCCGACTATATACGTATTTGCAGTATTTAAATGTAAAATTCACATCACACGCCAAGTTACATGTCAGTCAAGTCAGTTCCCGAGTGTGATGTATCGACGTTATTTCGACGTCTGTCTGTGATCTCGCATTCTCTAGTACAAGTTCACCGCAAATGAGCAACTAGTTTTCAAACGTGAACATCTAGTTTTTACTAATCGCCCGGCTTGAAGGTACAGATGCGTCTGTAGTAGTCAACAATTTGACCTCGCAATTCGCTCGACTGATTCTCAGACTGTGATGAAAATGTTGAATCGTACGTAAGAATTATATTTCTATTCTTGAAGCATTATTCGGAAACGTCTTACTATACTGTTCATACGACGTTGTCCCGGAGGTACGTTGGAAATGAGTATTAGCGTAATAAGTAAGACGTATTGTAGAGTATTGGCGGTGACGCGCTTCGACACACATGACACTGAAATATTTCGAAACAAGATTACAGGTTTTTATTTTTTTAATATAATAATAAAAGGTAATCATAATAGTAATAATATTAATAATGATAATAGATAATATAATAATAATAATAATAGATAATATTCAACATATCGTAAGCTTCCATCCGCAGAGCACGCTAAGTTAATACATGTACATGGTTTCTTTACAAAAATAATAACAATGTTTTCGATGTAACATTGCCGATCGGTGACATCTTTTGCTTCTTTCATTTAGCTAATATGCCATTCAGCACTTTCCTTTGGATCAATTCCTATTTTTCTCTCTTCTTCCCTGTCTCGCACACACGCGCGAGTTGCGCGTGCGTCCTCTCTCTCTCTCTCTCTCTCTCTCGCCTCTGAACAATTAATCGTTCCAGTTAATCGATGTTGTCTTTGGTACATTAACAACGGACAGCATACTATGGAATAACGGTTTGGTATGTCGGACGGGGTACCCACCATCCGCCGTCGCAAGGTGCGCGCGCGCGCGTCGAAGGTGCTCGCAAGAGCTGAACATTGCACGAAGAAGATTTCGGCCGGGATGCTCGGCTGTGAGGAAGCGACGCGGAATAATAAAAAAAATAAAAAAGTACGAAAGAACAAGAAAGGATCCAGAGATGCCTCGGAGAATTCGCGACACGGACACGTAGTCTCAAAAAGTCTCGGCAGGAGGAATTATATCCTCCGGGTGCGTGTGTGTTTCTGTGTGCGGCAGAATGACGGAATAATCAACAGGTGTACAAAGTTCTTGGATGAATAATATTATCGCTTTAATGTAAACCATAGAAAGACATAACTAATCGGTGTTAATTAACGTAAGAAATATTACACTTTGCTATTGCAGATTGTGAATTGTGAGAACATTTCGGCGAATAGAGACTACGCTTTGCGCTCAGCGACGATAGAACTTCCATCATCTCTCCTCTCTCTCTCTCTCTCTCTCTCTGTTTGTCGTACATTCGGAATCCTCTCGTCCGTCGATTCGAATTCTCAGCGAGAACGCGAGTTTCGGTGAGCGACAATGAAGAAAGGAGAGATTACGCGTAATGTTCCTCCTTTCTTTATTTTTTATTCAAGGACGCGAGTCATTCGTCCGAGACCGAGGAGGAGACTCGCGAATTGCTCGCCGTCGTGGGCTTTAGGAACATGGAATTCCGGGTCTTCACAGACGTTCGACGAGTTTTGACGGATAATAAATTCATCGTTTCGACGCGTGCTTTTCTTTCTTTCTTTCTTTCTTTCTCTCTCTCATTCGTTTCATCCTACGTGATCTACACTACAAGGCCGTGATGTCGATTCTCGTTATCCTGCAACTGGCTCAACACGATCCGCTGGCAACAATTCTACTATTCGTCGGAATTGTCGCGCAAGGACGGTGCGGCTTTTTCAGCGACACGGAAGGAGAAAATCGCGCGGCCGGTTTCAACTTCGCAATCTTCTTCGCGCGGGACGCGGCGCTCTACGGTCTGACGTACTGAAAATGCCATCACTAAATGGTATGTATTAATCGCGGTCGTCGCGCTAAATACACTCTCCCGGGAAGCTGGTCTTTTTTTCTCTTTTTTTAATCGCGGTACTCTCTATGACCATTATAATTTACACGACGTAAATCATTACGAGGTTCTCGTTTGACCGGCTAATTTGGCCGAGAGTTAGGAAAAAAGCATTAGAGATTAGGAAAAATTACCACTTGAACATCGGACGATACGAAAGAAACGGGGGGGAGGGGGGACGCCTCGGCTATTGATTCTCCTGCTAATATTTTCCCCTTTCGCTATAAATCAAGCTAATTCTCTTTTCGTAGGCGCCAGATAAGAATCTTGAACTCTCTACCGAGACGAGCGCGCGAGTTTCGCAAGGCTCGACACCCTCACCCAACGCTCAATCTCCGCACGTTTGTGACGTCACACCATCAGCGGCGCGAAAAGCAGACGTTGATCCTTGTGAATCGTGAAAGCGGGCCGTCTGCGATAATTTCATTACTTACAGCTACCTACAAAGCTTACAACGGTCGCGCTAGTCCTGAGTTAGCTTCCGACTGAGAGCAAGCACCGGTTTCTTTCCTTTCGTGTCATCCGATGACTCTCTTTCTCTCCGCCTGTCAGACGCGGATTCCGGATTTAAATGCGACACAATGCACACAATCACGCATTCCATTCTCAGCACTAGTTTCGATACTGTGTCTCTCTCTCTCTCTCCCTCTCTCTCTCTCTCTCTCTCATACATTCTTCTCTCTCTCTCGCTCCTCACACACAGGTCCTTATAAATAATTTTTATCGATACAAAGTAATAATAAGTAATAATTTCTAATACAATAACCGATAGTCATAATAATATATAATATTAATGAATAATAATAGTAATAATAAATTAGGAACCACGTACAATATGAAATATGGGAAATTAAATTAGAATACGCTATCAACTCGTTTTTTTTTATCGAGGACTATTTATAAATTATAAGATACACGATTTGTATTCTCGCTTTTGTAGATGCTTAGGCCACGCTCTTCTTTCTTATTCGAAGTTTCTCTCTCTCTCTCTCTCTCTCTCTTTCCTCTCTTTCTCTTTCTTCCCTATCGCTACAGCAAAGTAGAAATTTCAGGGACAGTCCGAATAAGAGAAAATAGTCGTTATCGTTATCGAATGTGTCTCGAAGCGACGGGTGGGCGATTAATACGAAAAAAGGGTGGAACGAAGCGTTTGTAGAAGCTTTCCTTTGTTCTCTTTCTCTTTCTTTTTTTATACTCGAGTATCTACAAATATACAAATTACCGCTGAATCGTCGTCTAATGTCTTCGCCGTTAGATGCGTTGCTTTCTTCCTTTCTTTCTTTTCTTTTTGACGAATTATACAATTACAAAAATATGTATTTGGACTTTTGAAGCGCAGTGCGCGCGTCGCGATGCAACGACGTACAACGAGGACGTCACGACGCGGCGAAAGTGTGCTGTTTTTCCTTTTCTTTCTCTTTTGATAGTCAGGAGGCTGTCGACGATCCGGGATATATATATTGCTCTTTAACGTAGAATAATTTATTATTTACAAGAAGAGAGTTTAGACGAAACGACGGAGGCCCAGCCTCGTACACCGTGAAGTATCTCCAGACACACGTATTTGATCCCATTCTATTGCGTTGTTAAACGTACCGCTCTTTCGATATGCCGTGCAAACACCAAGCAACGATAATCCGAAAGCTGGAAGGAATCCGAATGTGAAAAAAAAGGAAAAAAAAAGAAGAAAAAATGAGAGTTATTGCGAGGTGAGTGGCAAGTGTCGGATGCAATTGCGCGTGTAATCGGAGATAATTTGAGCCTTTCATCTAAATAAATAGGATGTAACGAGTGATATAAGCGATCCGGCAACGCGGCCGAATTTTCCGCCTCTTCGATCTTGCCGAAACAATCGGACAACTGTCCGGCGCGCGTTGGAATTCACTTATCTCACGCATCGGCCGGACGCTACAATGAGCAACGAGTAATTAATGCGACATTAATGTCTCGTGGGACGACACATATATACACGGAGAAAAATATTTCACTGGCACAGCAAATTGTTAGGTATACTAAAGGAATAGCGAAAAATTTGTTTGGACAGCAAAATGATTTGTTAAGAATATTCACACATTGCTGGATATACAGACAGTAGAATAATTCGATCGCAGCAACGAAATTTTATCGTAATAACAGTGTTATAACAGCGAAATTATCTTTTCCATGTAACAAATTTTTTTCGTCGTCTCCATAGTAACCAACAATTCGCCGTGCGAGCAAAATAATTTTTTGCCGTGTGTACATATATATATATATACATACACATGTACACATATGTATGCATACGCGTCGTTTGGCAGTTATCTGAATGAAAAAAAAAAAAAATGAACTGGACAGAAAGATTATCAAAAGTTTCTCTTCCGAAACGAAGCGGATAAGGTGCGAATCGATCGGCTCGATCCCGCCGTGAAGTCGGCGAGACCCGATTCGCGCTCACGATTGTCGCACCTCCGACTATTTTTTTTTTTTCTTTCATTTGTTGCAGCCTATTTGTCCTACTCTCTTTCTCTCTCTTCCTAACGGCGCGTTTCGCTTTGCATCCTTACCGCTCTCGGTAGCACGGCTATGAAGTTAGATTCAGTATAAGTACGTCATTAAGTGCCTGAGAGCCGGCGGTCGGACAAACGATACTTCTCGTTCGCTTCTCCGGAGGATCGGGTGGCAAAGTGTGAAACTGTGTGCGAAAGTAGGGGAGGAGGGGCAAAAAGTGTGTTTTCGAGAAAATATCTTGTCAATGCGCCACAGTACGTAACGCCGGATGGCGATCTGACGTCAATAGATTTTCTCTAACGGCTCGGTAAATAGATAATAGCGTCTCTCTATTAATTCGTAGCGAAACGTGTGTGCCTCCCGTGTGTATGTGTGTGTGCTTAGGGAACTATTTCGTTCTCTGGTAAGAAGACGTCGGATTTCATCTAGATCTAATTTCCTTAGGGATCTCTACGTAAGACACATACGTCGATTACTCCTTTGATACCCAGTGATGCGCGCTCGGTTGCGCCTTCACTACGAAGATTCTTTGGAAGAGCCCGGCGTGAGAGAATACGATTTACGAGAGCGGAGGACCGCAAAGACGCGAGCGTCCTCGCAATCATGCTCCCCGTCAAACTGCGTGAGTTGCGCGAGAACTCTCGGTTTCGAGAGCCTCCCGCGAGGGGGAGCGCATTGAAAAGTTACCGTGTGTTGTTATTGTTGTTATTATTATTATTATTATACTATACAGTACCAAGCACGTACCAAGCATCAAAGGTTTCTCGTCTTGCCTATCCGCTCTAGCGTGCCTCTGCTACTTCGGCTTCTCGTGCTTCACCAAAAGAGGGGGCTTGCTCTTCTCCGTCTCGCCGGGCGCGTGCCGGCGTCCTGCGCTCGCGACACACGCGCGTATCCTTCGCGTTTACATAGGAGAGAGAAACGATCTTTCCTTTATTCTGAGTTTTTTTTTTCATCGCTCTTTACGATTTTCTTCTTCCTCTTTGATCGGGTGTACCGCAGCTACGCTTCTTGCTTTTTACGAACGAGAATAGAAAGGCACTACTTTTGCAGCTGATGTGTGTGTGTGTGTGTGTGTGTGTGTG